CCCCCCCCCCCCATCTCCTATACCTGGTGTTCCTTGGCCCCCAGATCGGGCTTCCCTGCGTACACTCCCTCCGGGGTCTGCGCCTAAATCTGCATTTAAAGCAATGTGCGAACTAACGTCAACTGGTTCCAAATTTGGCACTTCCCTAGGGTTTATTGGTGGTACATCGACCCCTGCATTGTTGTTTTCCCCATGAAATCCAAGACCTTCGTTGTCATGAACAGGTGTATTTTGCGAGTTTGACATGTTTAATCCTGAAATCAGAAAATCTTGACAAGAAAAAGTGTAAAAATAACGTGTGTAACGAGAATCAATAAAAAATTAATCACTATTATCTTTAGCCCCACGGTGGGCCCCAAACTGTTTACCTCAAAAATACGAGTAAAATTAAATTTGATTTGTGATTTTAAAGATATGTGATTAAATTCAATACCAACTAATATTCAAGAAATATGAAGTAGAAATGAAAGAAATAAGTGAATCAAACCAATGCTACTCAACAGTGGTGACCTCGAGTTTAGTGACCTCGAGATGAACTAAGAGTAATAAAGTAAAAACAATAAATGTAAAGGACAATTCCGATGAACAGTAAGAGAGAAAATTAGGATAGTATATTCTTGCCAATGATTAGATGATGTTACAAATGATTGGGGTCCCCTTTATATAATAGGGGAACCCTAAATAAGGTATATTTGTATTTACAGTAAGGAATATTCTTGATACAGCTGTCTAACTGTCTAGTACGGAATCGTACAATCCAATTCCGGGATTTGCGCCATGATCTTGGGGACGTGGCAGGGATCTAGCTCATTCTGCTACAAATCCATAGCTGCATCTCCTACCTAATGCAATTGACCGACCCGCCATTTCTTTCCTTCAATAATGCCTTCGCTTCACTTCAAGACGCTACTTACCAAGGAAAGACTACCTTTTTTTTGCGGTACAATTCCGGGATCGAGCACACTTGACTTCGGTATTCCTCGCACTCCTATCTTCGGCCATTGCATTCCATCCTCGAGCTCGAGTGTGATCTGTCGACCTTAAACTCAAGCTTACTTGAACTACAACCTAAGGCGATCCCTCGAGCCTGAGAAATCGGGCGTGCCTGCCGTATACAATTGTGTAACTTCTTATGTGTCCATTTATTCAATGTCCTGATAATGAAGTCTCTCGCACAACTTGACATAGTGGTCCCTACTGCTCTTAATCTCTTACTTCACTTAAACGATCTCATATTGACAGGGTGGCGACTCAATAGAGCTAATGACATAAAATTAAATTATTAGAGGCGCCAAGCTTTTCCTTTGAAAAAAAAAAGAAGAAGAAGAAGAACCTTGCATATACTCTTATATCCTTATTTTAAAGTCATTTTCCCAACTTCTTTTAAGATGTACTTAAAATAATTTTTCCAATATAACCAATCAATCACATGACTAAATAGTTCCCTTTCAATTATTTTATAGATCTTGTAGTTTAGCTAAAGCCTTTTCAGTGGCTGTATTGGTGGAAAAATAGAAATGACACGTTGTCATACCCTTTTTGGGTACCCCCGAAAAAAATAATATGTGTATGTTTGCGGGTGGGTTAAAGAGTTTTTTCAATTAAAGTGATAAACTTGAATAGGGATTATTTTTGTTTACAGAGTCGCCACTTGAAATTGATTTTTTGGGTGTTCCAAGTCACCTTTTTATTTGAATCCCTAGTCAAAGGAAGATTTGACTCTATTATTATCGGTCCGCGAAAATAAAGTTCGGGTAAGGAATTTTGTTGATCGGGGAGAAGGTATAAGGCATTCCCCGTATCCCGTGGTTCCAGCACGGTCGCTTTATTGACTTAAAACTTGGCTTGAACTAATTTTGGACAAACTGTGATTTATATTATTTTCATGTTTTACCTATCCGCTTTTATCTCTTGATTATTAGAAAAAATTAAAGAATATTTTTGAATAATA